TTTTGGCTGGGGGAGGGTACCCTGACCCTCTTGTGGGCTTCCTTACATCTTAGTTTTCTCTAATTATATGGCAGTGGATGTCTCCATGTTCTAGAATTTTCTGGGTAGAGGAATACAAACATTAAATACTGGGATTATAAACAATGCATGACATGTTTTTAATTAAAATATGGACCACACAGTCTGTACCAACTGATTTTCAGATTCTCGGATGTTGCCAGGTCATTTCCATATTGGTTCAGGTGACACAGACAGAGGAAGAGGAAGCTATGGGACAAAGTATCATCTGATTTATTCTAGCACAAAAGGGCTTTGTATCTTCAATTAATACTTAGTTTGTGCTTTGTCATATTCCAAAATGGGGTCTGAATCAGGAACCCTGGTCCTGAGTCTCCAGGATTTAGAGATGCTGCTGTGCATTTTGGAGAGGGGCTATGTTTCTCATGCTATGGGGGAGACTGCATAGTCACCCCTTGACTACAGTCTTCTAAGCCCTGTTCCATGAGATCCATCTTGACTCCATTGGAATTTTCGAGCTGCACATATAATCCTGGTCTGGCTCTGGAAGTCTGTGTTGTCATGGACCATCCCATTTTGTCACACTCTCTGGAAAAGGGATGTGTACAAGGTCCTGGGCAGAGTGGTGGTTGGCAGTTTCATGAAGAGGCAATGTGAAAGTTCGGGGGCAGGACATTGAGATGAATGAGGGAAAAGGCTCTTGGCAGGTGGATGTCATCTATAACTCGTTCACACCCCTGACTTGAGAGGGTCTTGAGAGCCGTGGCTTTTCAATGTCTCTCCTAGACTCACTGGTGCAGGAACAGGCTTTTTGTTTGGGGCCACAGACTCCTAGTGTTGGATGCAAAGCAGTCATTTTCAAAAGGGATGTTTTAAGCCATGGGACTCCAACTTCAATGACAACTTTGGCAGGTGCTTTATATGATAAGGCAAAGGTCTTCCTCTCAGGGCTGGGGACCTCTGGGGCAGACATTTTGCTACGGTCTGTCCTGTGTGTCTCTGTCCCCTACCCATCAGATGTTAGTGTTATTCTTTCCCCAGTTGTGACATTCAAAACTGTCTGCAGATAGGGACAACTGTCCCTTGGGAGACAAAGTTACCTCCTCTTGAGGCTTTTGCTGTTAACATCCTAATGTGGAGGCAATTAACAGAAGGTAAGGGAGAGAACCCAAGTACAGCATTTTGGTATCTCTCTATCCTCTCCTCCTTGTCCTTGATTGGAACAGGTGACAGCGGGGGACTGAAGGGCTGTGGGTCCTCAACTTGTCATGCATGCTGCCACCTTCCCAACACCACTCTGAGAGCCCTCTTCCCTCCCAACCCCACAGCAGGCTTTGCGAGACGTCTGTGGGTAGAACCAGTCTAGCTCCTATCACGAATCCCCCACAGGCTTTATTTAGGCCCTGACCTTCCTTTAAAAATGCATACTTATTGAACTGGAGTACCCAGAAAAAGCGCCAAACATGAAGAACCCTATGTACCGACACTAGGTTCTGCCTTCCCCACTTGGCATTAACGAACCCATGCCAATTGTACTCTTACCTCATCTCCTTCATTTATTATACTTTGTAGATCCAGCTTTTTCCGCTGAAACTTGTGGCCTTCTAATAGCAGCCAGCAGTTACCATAAGTGACCTCCCTTGTTTGGTACCAAGCTGTGAGTCATGGAAGACTTGGCAGGCCCTGGCCAATGTCATTTGCAAATGTCAAGGCTGCACCTTCTCTGGCATGCTTCTCCTCTGTCCTGCTATCACCCACCATGGGTGTTTTCTTTCTTTTAAAAATCTGTTTATTTAAATATACATATATATTTATTTTTGCAGCTGTTGTTGTTGTTGTTGGTAGTAGTAGTAGTGTGTGTGTGTGTGTGTGTGTGTGTGTGTGTGTGTGTGTGCCTGTGAAGACAACATATCTATCAGAGTTAGTTTCCCCTTTTCATCTTATGTATTTCTAAAGACTAAATTCAGGTTGTCAGACCCAGTGGCAAATGTCCTTTATTTGGTGACTCACGAGTTGTTTTCCTAGAAGTCATGAATGATAGGTTTCCTGTCCTTCCACCTTTCTGCCATAATGGGTCATTAAAAACAATGATGACCCTACTCTTCTGCTTTTTTAAAAAAAATTAATTATGGCCAAGAAATGACAACTTCTAGCAGAAGCATGATGCCATCTGTACTCAAAAACCAAGGAAAGACTTCTCACGTAATCCCCATGGTTAATGTCTTCCAAGAACTGCTATGTATCCAGTCCTACAAGGGCTCTTGTTTGTTGTTTACTTTTAGTATTTTGCGAGGTACTGAGATTGAAGTTAGGGTCTCAGATAATCTTGATGAGTAGTGGAGCTGTACCCCTAGTCCCAGGAACACTCCACCAAAGACACTCCTTCAATTTTCACGTCATTGTTACGAGGCAGACATTTTCTTACCCCCATTTGACAGCTGGGGAAAGAGAGGCACAGACAGGTGAAGTGGCGTGGACAGGGTGTCATTGGTGGAGTGTTCCTGGGGCTAGGATTAGCATTCTGGCAGCCTTGTTCCGGGCAGGGGTTGGCAACCCTTTTTTCTATAAAGGGCCAGAGAGTCAATCCAGTCCTTGCAGGCCATATGGTCTCTACAGTGATGATTCAACTTTATAAACTTGAAAGTAGTTATAGATGACAGTGCACAGATATAAACACAGAGATGCACATTTCATCTAATACTTAGCGGTCATGAAGTATGTTTTTCCTTTGTTTTTTTTTTTTAAAACAAAATCTGAAAATGAACCTCAGTTTTGAAGCTATACATACAAACTGTGGGCTGAATTTGACCCCAGTCCCGTAGTTTGCTAATGACTGTTCCAGAGCCCTGACCTCTCACCACTCTGCGATGTGGCTTCAGTACTGCTGTTCCCTGACTGACAAGCCCTCAGAGGCAAAAGAGGAAGCTGGAGGATGTTATTTAATTTGCGGGGTGGGGGACTCCACACGGATGCTTCACGCACTTGCCGCTTCTCAGTATGGGGCAAGTCCAGGAAGGGTCCGTTTGGAAGCTTAAGTCATGAAAGCTGAAATGAATGAAGTGTCAGGACACAATGACTGGCATCTCTACAATCATCAAAACACATTTATGGAATGCTAACGGGGCCAAGAAAGCGATTTCATGTATTTAAACAATTTGATTGATAGCTCCTTGTTGGAAACAGATCCGTGCAGGAAGGTGGGCTCCCATGAACGAAGAGCATGCTGTATAAACATTGAGATCTACTTGGTATTTGACGTGGCCCATGGCCCAGGAATATCTACTGGAGAGGCTCAGTGGCACAGGTGGTCCTATTCCTCTTGGCTTTGCTTTGCATCTGAAATGTTGTCAGTGTTCCTACCTTGGTGAGACCAGGGCATGAAAACTGCCTTGAAACCATGAGACTTCCAGAGAGAAGGCGTCAGAATTAGAGGCCAATGCCAGCCTGGCCACCTGGTCAATGTCCCCAACAAATGCCAGTGTCTCTGGCTGCTCCACAGGGGCTCTGGGAGAATGTGTTTCCAAATGGGCTCTTGGCATACCTTGTCACTGTGCGGCTCTGAAATGCTGCCAGAAGTCCCGGCAACCGCAGGCCCGTTGCCTTCTTGGCTCCAGCTGGACTGGGTGGCAGATGGCGGAACCACTGGTGTGGTCGGACTAGGGAGGAGCTGTCTGGGGAAAAGTTGATTTTCTGGCTAGAGTGTGCCTTAGGTAACTACATTCTTGACTGAAATGGTACTGAGGCCTTTTGTATATTGCAACTTCTGGATACTAAGGAGAGGGAGACAAGTTCCAGGAGTGCTGGGGCGGATCATTTCCTAGGATCTTCTGGTACCCCATGGAAAGTCATCTTTCTTGCAATATTAGAGCAACAAAAAGGTCTTGGTAATGAGCAGTACAGTGGTTTTCGACTTGGGCACTCCAAAATCAGCAGTGAGGAAATGCTGGTCCCTTGTCATTGTCAAGGAATTAACAAAAATTGGACCCATACTCATGACAAGCCTTCTCATCATAGCAATAGTCTTGAGTTTCTTTGTTTTGAGCTGGAGTTTAAGCATTGGACCCGTTAAAACTGGTTTGTGTCTATTGATAAAGAACTTCAATTAACAGTGATTTTTGTCTCTGATTAATCTTAGAATATGAATTAATTATTACTTAATAAGTGTAATCTAGCTGGACACAGCCCTCTTTAAAATCAAGGCCTCTTGAGGGAAAGCTCTAGAAAAAGATCTCCAAGATGGAAGCAGGAGGAACTGCAGTGGTATGGTACCTCTCCTACAAAGAAACAAGAGACAGAAATTGGTTAAAGTACTTGCTTAATCTGCACTCAAGTCTCAGAGATTCAACTGAGCTTGCTTCTCAGAGTTTCCATGTTATACTCTTCCTACTACTCCATGGGGACCCTGAGTCGTTAGGGGGCTCCACCTCTGGAGTAACTTTTCTGCCCAGTTCAGTCTGTTGGTTTTCTTGAGCTCCAGATGGAGTGAACTATGGTCATGCAGATGGAGTGGTCTTCTGTGCCCTGGTGGGTACATGTGCCATGTGTATGTCTTTCTCCTCATTTTGTCTGCTCAGGAGTCATACTCTAAGACAAGCCACACCTCCCTTCCCCACAAAACACATCATTTATATTGTATTGCTGTGCAGGCATTAAGAAAATAAAAAACAGAGTCTAGAAAGAGCCTGACCTTAGAAAATCCTAAATAGGAACAAGAAGGAAGTAAACTGAATAAAAAATTTGGGGAATGGGTTTGACGTGTTCTGGAGCAAGGGATGGCTGCTGAGCAACCATCCTCAGGCTACGTACTTAAAAACTGTGAATCCTTCATTTCTGTCCATCCAGAGGGAGAAACTGAACTCAGAGTTAATTGGTGATTTGTCAGAAGTCACGGCTCATGCTCCGGGCTTCAAGCTCATGTCTGACCTTAACGCTGGCACCCCGCCCCTGGCTGCAGTGTCCTGACCTTTCCTCTCTTCCTGCAGACACATAGAGAACTGGCGAGGCCTGCACACACTCAACGCCGTGGACATGGAGCTCTACACGGGACTCCAGAAGCTGTGAGTACACTGGGGTGGCTTGCTAAGGAATAACTGGGATGCTGCCTGTCATCTTTCATGGTGAAGTAGCAGTAATAGGAAGTCTTCCGTCTCAGTGTTTTTCCTCAGGAATCTTCTTTGGGTATGGTTGGCATCACCCATTTGGGGATGTCAGGGGCCACCTTAGTCGGTACAGGCCTGGGGGTTCCCTGAGGTTAGGGTTTCAAGGCAGCCTTGCCCCCATGCCTGCTGGGATCGTGTTCTTTCTTCAGTCCTGTGCCTACACCCCATCCCCAGTGTTCGGTTCTCATTCACCACTGCAGTCAACTTCAGTGCTTTAGACATGGGGGAGTGGGTGCGAGGAGGAAAAGACACAGGAGACTGCAATCTCCTTGTCTCTGGAGCACCAGGAGCTCTGATCCTCAACTGCTGGTCAGAACGGGAAGTGATCAGGTGCCATCAATGATTGCTCATATTCCAGTCTTCACCTAGTTCACCAAAGGAACTGGGCTCATGCCTCTCATTGAACCCACAGTTGGCCATCTAGGGTGACTAGTGATGAGGAGAGCTACAGCCCACTCACAGGGCTTGTCTTCCTTTGGCTGTAACCCCTGGGATTTTGCTGAACTTCTTTTTCTCTCTGCGTAGGACCATCAAGAACTCTGGACTCCGGAACATTCAGCCCAGGGCCTTCGCCAAGAACCCCCACTTGCGTTATATGTGAGTAGAACTGGATTTTGGGAGAAGGTGGGGGGGGGGTGCATGCATGGAGATAGTCTTGGACAATGAAGCTGGCTTTGATATTTGTTGTCCTTGGCCAAATCCTTTTACTTTCTTAGGTTTCCAGTTTTACCTTATTAGCATGGGCATTTGGGATTTGGTCATCTCAAAGGTTTTCAGTAGAAGAAATCTAGGGCTGAGTGGGAGAATCTCCAGGCTTGCAAGTTTGTACCTTTTTTATAATGAAAATTTTCAGTTTTATGGCAATGTAAATGACAGGGACTTACTATGGACACGACTCTTCTGAGAGTATGTGTAGGATTGCAGGTGTGTGTATGTGTCAATATTGGGGATTACTGGAAAAAGGAAAACAAGACCAGACCAAGTATAAGAAGAGTCTAGATTCAATACAGAAGGACTTTGAGAACTGGAAACATTTGCATAAGATCACGGGTCTTGATGTGGGATGAAACAGTGGACACATGGTCATGGGTTTATGTCTCCCTCACTCTATATCTCCTTCTTGCCATGGAATGGATCCTTTAGGCAGTGGCTCTGGACAGACCTTGCAGGAGTGGAATCATCCACGTGGATGCTTCTTCTCCAGGTCTAGATCTGGGTGGGTAGACTATGAGATTTGGAGGAAGGACAGTCGATTCTTGTGAAGCAAGGGAGCACGAAAGAAATCCTATAGTAAGTGAATAAGGACAAGACAATTGACACCTCTACAGGGGTAGACTTGTTGTCTGGGTCAGCTCTTTCTCAAGAACAGCCTTGTGGATCTTCAGTGGGTATACCCCAAAGAGCAGAGGGTATGCACAGACTGGATGGCATGGGTTCTGATGCAAGTGGGATGGAAACAGAGGTGGACTAGTCTTTCTTTGGGCCGCTGTAGTAGGCACTTGATAATAGAAGGCAACTTGCTGGGTAGAGATCTCTTATAAAGAAGAAGAGATTGTAAGGGATGCTATGAAGAAGTGGCCCACAGCGGGTGTAGGGGTCAGAAGAGATCCTGACCAATTGTGGTTGGGGAGTGGTTCCTTTTTTGCAGAGGTCTCAACTGTACTCTCAGGTCTGTGCATTTTGCCAAGTACAAGGTGAATAGTTATTTATCTCTTTCAGCGACTGCTTTGTGTTGAACTTTCTTTCTTCCCTCTGGAAATAGCAAGCTCCCTGGCCATTGCCTGAGGCCCTGTGTACTAACCATGGGGGACTGAGACCTCCCTTTTAACTGTCTAACTCAGCTCTTGCTCCCTTGCCCTGGTTTATGCCCTGTGGCATGATTCTCCCGATGTGTGGCATGATTCTCCCCATGTGTGTGTTCTTCGCAGCCGTCGGCGTAACTGCAACCAGAGAAGGGCCTTGGACCAGATGTTCCAGGTGTTTATTTTATTGGGGATTTGAGTTTCATTGTAAAATGTCCCAAGGGAAAGAGCCTTTGACCTCTGAAAGGTCTCCTTTTTCACAACATCCAGAGCTCATGAAACCACATGTCCATGGCAGATCAGGTGGGGACAGTGGGGGCTGTGAAAACCGCATGACAGTTCCAGCTGACTACTGTTGTGCGAGGTGTAGCCCTACTGTCACCAGACTTTCTGTTTATTCAAGATGAACTGAAACTGCAGCACCCACTCAAAGGCCTCTGCTAAACACAGCGGGGACCCCTGAGGAGCTTGAAGGTTACAGGCAGCAGAGGCCACAGGGTAAGGTACACAGTCCAGCTCGTCCAGGGGTTTTATGAGTGAGCTTTGCCCATTTATGAAGACACACCCCAAATCCCTACTGAGTGAATTTCCCGGCAGCTTTGGGACATTTTCTCCTGGCAAACGGTCCAGGTTTCGCTGCTCTCTCACAACATCTTCTATTTCTGTCTTCTAAATGCATTGACAAGTCTTCAGGCCCCAGCTGAGCAATCACAAGGCGATCACTTACTCCAACACTAATTGCCAAGCCCTGGCTTGGCGGCTATTTCTTGCTTTCTCCCTCCTCCTCCTTTTTTAAAGGGGAATGGCTGAGAAGATGTTTCTTCTCCCCTCTGTCCAGAATAAGAAGCGGGAAGTGATATTCTTGCCCAAGTCACCTCAGTCATCCGATGGGGGCAACCCAACTGTCTCTCATCTCTGAAGCTGTCCCCGTCACCAGTATCATTCATCCCCACATCAGAAAATGAGCCTGTGATGTCAAGGTCAAATTTTGGCAGCAAGCATGATGGGACATTAGAACCCTAGGTTTTCCTGAAGTCTATGAGTGACTGTGTCCTATTGACTGCCTCAGTTTTCTTCTCTCTTTTGCTGGGTATGAACAAATGAGATATTGGTGAATACACATTCAGAAAGACCGTTCTGAAGGACTCGATTTTATTTTTAACCTTCTTGCTTAGATCAAGGAGCCTCAAGGGTAAGGACTTTTACAGCTTGGTAATGGGAACATCGGCTTGCTAAGCTGTAAATTGAGCATAAGGGCAGTGTCTGTTCCAGGCACAGACTACATGACTAATGTCCTCTACGGCTTTTAGCCCAGCAAGTAGAGTTCAGAAATGATGCTTACTGATGATAATGTGTTCTGCTGTTGCTGATCACAGGACCCAAAAGGAGGGACAAGGTGGTCTCAGTGACTCCCCTGACCTGTCTTGATCCTGGCATAGCTGGATTTCTGTTCCATGCCTTCCATCTCCCCTATGCCTGCAATACACCTGTTTTCAATATCTGCTGTCCGCTTTCCTCGAATATGGATGAGTAAACCTGGATACATTTCTTTCTTCTCTCTGCTCAGTCCCTACTGCTCTCAACTCTATGTAGACCACTCTATGTGATGCTCATCCAAGGTAAGATCTCAGCAATGGATGAGTCTAAAACTTCCTTAGTTCTAAACATTTAGAGGTCACATCTACGAACATTGAATGAGGATGATCCCCCAGTCTTCTTAGACCTGCTTCTGGAGTTGGTTCTTTTTTTTTCCCCCCTTTAAGAAAGTTGTTTTTTGTAGCATAGCTAACACACATGCTGGATCTCTGAGGCAGGTGGTCCTCCTTAGCAGGGTAATGTGGATGCCCTCTATGAACTGTTCTCCAGTGATGGCGTTTCCTTTCACCTTAGAGCGCTTCCTGATTTCCAGGGAACCTTCACATACTTCGTCTCCCCAAGTTCTCATCGTCCTCCTGGTGGCTGGTGTGGTAGGAAGCTATATTTCATAGGTGCAGGGAGAAGGGCAGAAATAGAGGCTTGCCTGGGTTCTTAGGTTCTCTTCCCAGGAACCCTTCTATGATACCTACGGCTAAGAGGGCCAACAGCAACAACACATGGATCAACCAAACCAGCCCCGCCCCCTCCCCACAAAAACCTGAGATGCTTTTAGCAAATGACAAGTCTCAAGGGGAGAGGTTGCTTAGCTGGTAAAGAGCTTGCTGCATTTGATCTTCAGGACCCACCTGAAAAAGCAGGTTTTGTAATCCTGGCACTGGGGGGGCAGAGACAGTCTTGTGTTTCCTAGCCAGCCAGTCCAGCGGAACCAGCCACCCCAAGCTGGTGAGAACCTGTCTCACCAACACAATAGAAGCGGCTCCTGAGGAAACACATCTGGGCAGCTAGCCTCTGGCCTTCACACGCACACAGGTGTATGTACAAACACACGCTCATGCACACACACGAGTGTACACGCATACCGGCACACATCTCAAAAAAAGAAAACAAGAGGGAAAGGCTAATTAATGCTCATTAAGACTTTACTATGAGCCAAGGAATGGACCTAGATCCTCTGCAGAGTTGGGCTCACTTTACTCTGCCTAGTGTCTACCTGAGAGCTCCTTTGTCCCCATTCCGTAGACGAGCACACTGAGTCCCACAAGACACAGTTGATTTCTCCTAAGGTCCTACCGTAAGCTAGTGGAGGAGTCAGGCTGAGGATGCCAGGCCCTCTGACTCTGAAGTCTGTGTACTTTCTCACATCCCCCAGTGTTTCTCTCCCCTGTTTTCTTAGCAAGTACTTCTGATGGGAGGGATGCGGGGTCTTTAAAGTTTTATTAGAGAGCTGCAATTTCTCCCTGGAGATTTAGCACCATCCAGCCTCAAGAGCTTGCTTGAGAAAGCTGTTTAGTTTCCTTCCCTATTCAGGTCGGATCCAGTACCAATGGTTGCATTACTAACTGAATATCTTTATTGTGAAAGATTTCTTAGCATTAGCCTATGGCCTACTTATTTCTAAGAATATTTAATGTAAGATTCCAGCAAGCCAAAAGAATTTCTTTATTCCCTCGGAATTGGTTGTGGTGGGATCTCTCATGTTTAGTTGCTGTAAGCAGAAATTCGCTGGATCTGTTCAGCTGGGAATCCTGGCTCCCTCCTGGCTGCCTAGGGCAGGATAAGGCGCAAATGCCTGGATTTGGACATGATTGTGGCAACGATGTTAGGTTTCCAAGGAGAGAAGGTCAGCGGTGCTTAGGTGGGTAGGGATAAAGGACATGGCTGGAGGCCCCGCCCTCCTGGTCACTGGCTGGACAGAATGCAATTCATTTCTCCTCAGGGAGCAGGGATGAAAACATGGTGAGGCTGATTTATTATGTATTACAAATCACTAGAGGTTGAAATAGCCCGATTTTGGACTCCAGGCTGATAGGCTGATATTTTAATAATAAACGTTTACCTCCCTGCCTGCCCCTTACCTCTGCACTGAGATTTTTTTTTTTGAGTCTCAGTGGGGTTGGTGACTGGCACACTTGTCCCCTTACTGCCTCCATGCAAGTGGCCTTCCTTCTCTGTTCTGTGTGGAGGATGCAGCCATTGAATGTTCTGTATTATTGATGATAGCGAACCAAGGGCTTTGGAGAGTCAAACCTGAGACTTTCACTCACCGATTCTTGGAAGGAAGTATAAGATCCCCTCCTACTTATATGACCGTTCTGAACCTTCTGTAAGACAAAGCACGCAAAGAGCTGAACTCAGCACATTTTGAAAGACTCAGTGCCCCCTCCCCCTTGTGGGCTGGTTTCCAGTTTCAGAGATTAC